AAAAAAAAAAAAAAAGGAACCCAAAGAAGCTGAAAATCACTACCTTGTTAACAGTGGAGGATAAGTCCCATTACTATCTGCAATGAAGTTCAAAACAACACATCACATACAATCATTCACCCCAAAGACAAAATCAAACACAGAACTAATACAAGACTCAAAAAACATGAAAGCAATCACAAAAAACACAAACAAGTGATGAAAAAAAACATACAATCACAAAAACATTATCTTTCTATGCAAGAAGCTGAAAAATGAAAATGACTTATCTTTCCAAAGCAAACCCAGTCCCACTTTTTTTTTAAACCAAATAAAAATCGAATCTTTACCTCTCTCCGGAATAAAAACCAAACCACTCCCACTGCCAAAGTCCACGCCCGGATTATAACCCTGCAGCAACTTCTCCGAAAGCCCGGTCCAACTCGCAATTCCCGATAAACTTTCGCCGGGCCTCAAAGGATACGTAACGAAAAGCCCGTAATCTTTCGACACGTGGCTGTCCCCACACGAGCACCTCACGGTCACATTCAGCCGGGCGCCGGCCGGGATGCTCCCCGGCGCGTAGCTGTTGAATCTCGTCAGCATTTCAACCGTCGTCAGGTTCGAGTAGATTAGCCCCGCTATCCTCTGGTAGGTGGCGTTCGCGGACCGGACGCGGTAGATGAACCGACCGGCGGAAAGCCCGTCCACCGGGCCGCACGAGAAGGGCACGCGCAGCCGGGAGCCGGCGCTGATGAGGTCTGGGTCTGTGATTTGGGTGTTGTAGCTGAGGATTTCGTCAATTGTGGTCGAGAGGACTGTGGATATGAAGGACAGGGTAGCGCTGTCCCATAGGTAGTAGGAAGCTAAAGCGTCACAGGCCCGGCCGGAATCGGAGGTGGCTTCGGCCCGGAAGACGGCGAGGAGTAATAGGCTGAGAAATGTGCTGCGATTGAGCTTTTGGGGGGTTTTCATGGAGGAAAGCGGGGTTTCTTTTTTGCGGGCTGGTGAAGGAGAGATGGGAGTTGGGTTTGTCTGGTAATTTTGTCAAACAGGTTGTGGGCAAAATCAGTTGACACTCATAAAGCAATAGGAGAGTGGAGATGGTCCAAAAGGTTGAAATTGGTCATACATTGTGGGCAGTTGGTGAATTTCACCAAGTTTTACTATATATCAACAGTTCGATCTCGACTCCACTCGACTCGTTTACAGTATTTGGGAGAACACTTGCACAATTAATTTGTGCATACTCAATTTGAATCGTCTGATCAGCAAACACTCGCATAAATATATTTTGATGTGAACATGTGATCGAAAGACTCCAATTTCCAGTGGTAAAGAACAAATTAACCAAGATACATTGTTTACAAATATCTTCACTACTATTAAAATATATATGTTTATCAAATTTCACAAATGTTTTTATAGTAGAAAACATCATATTTATCCCTTACAACATGAAAGAATAAACTCACATCATTTTGCTATGTAAAGATTTTATATTTGGAGTTCAGATGTAAAATTTAATTTCAATATCAATTTTGCAAATGAAAAGACTATTATTGCACATTGAGGTATTTGTTAATCCATGTTCAGAAGTATATTAGACTACACTAAAAAAAAAATACAATAACACAAAAATCAAGCATTCTTTCTATATTTTAAATATTTATTTATATTGGTCAACTAGAACTAAAAAATAATGTGAAATTTCAAGGTTTAGATGTCTTTGCCCCCAAGCTCTGAAGTAGTGCCTTAAATTTCAAAGAAACCTCACATAACATGCAACTGAAACTACCAAAAATGTCAATTCTCATATGTTGACTTTTACATAAGGAAAAAGGAAATGAGAAAGGGATGTAGAGATTAGTTTTCTCTTTTAAATTCTATGAAATTATCGGATGGTTTTCTCTGGCAAAAATTCTATGGAGTCATCGAATGGTTTTCTTATAAAGTCATCCACTACTTAATGTATTGACATTTGTCCAAATTATAGTTATTGAATGACATGTGTCAATACACTATTGACGATAAATATGGATAACTCCATAAATCAGTCATCCGATGGCTTCATAGTGAAACTGTTTTCTGGGGAGTAATTAATTAATTCATTATAGCAACTATGCTGGCAAGACTTTCTATTTTAAATCACATAAAAATGCAGATTTTGCATTGTTAGAAAGGATAAATTAAGTTGCACAAACAAAATTAACCACAAGTAACTCAGTTTTTATTTATTTATTTTTCTAAGTTCCTTACTAAAATAATTTATTTCTTTTATTTTTTTTTTTAAAAAAAAACTTATTGATGGAATTGTAAATGAGCTGACCCAGCTTAAAATTTTATATTCGAGCTGAGTCTCAAACTGAGCTGGTTAACTAACAAGTCGATAAATAAGTTCCAGTTTTGATAGTCTTATCAATACTAATGAGCAGAACTCAATATAACATAACTCGAGACTTAACGAGCTGATTTAATTAAAAAAAAATTACTAATTACATAAAAAAAAGGAAAGTAACTTATTTTCGAATCCAAGTCAGAAGTGATAGCAACTCTTTATCAGAAATCAATTACACATTTCACACATTAGAATATTGACCATAACCACAAACAATTGCTTATAAAGAAAGAAGACCAAAAATAAAAGAAACCAATACAGTACATAAGCAATGAATGCCTAGTTCAAGCAAACGGGCCACAGATCCGGGCCAGCCCACCGAACCAGTGGGCTCAGCGCATTGACCGACACCCTAGCCCACTGCACCGGGCCTGTATATTACAAATTAATATAATATACATTTAAGGTTAACAAAATGAAAATCAAATTACATCAAATGTACAGTCATAATGGTCCAGAGTTAATGCAAAATCGGCTGGAGACACCTTCTAATCCTCTGTCTCGTCGTGAAGGTTTAACTTTGCCTGCAAGAGGCGAACTATTTTGTGTGTACCGAAATGATATACGGAAAAACAAAAAACGAAAAAATTTGTTCGCCAAAAACTTACGTCAAGGTAGATTCTAACTTCTTCGGAAGCTTGGATTTGTCCTTTACTAAAGTAAGATTGAGCATTTTCTTCAATATGATCCACCCTACAAAATTTGTAGCAATAAATCTAACTGAAAAACTAACTTATAGCTGATAAGCTTATAAGTGAATTTCGATTGATTGGCTGAAAAACTAAACTAGCTGATATAATAAAAGTGTTCAGTAGAATTAGTTGAAATAACAATTTTCAAACGGGATTTTTTTCTAAAAAGATATATTTTTATATATATATATATAAAATAAAAATTCAAAGGCTCGAGAGCCTTACTTATAGATGTAGTTGACCATAATTCCAGCACTTTGGTTTAAACCTTTCTCCGACCGATCGGCCAGCCAATTAACCCTTCCAACCATCTACAATTTTTTTTTTTTAAAAAAAAAAAAGTGAAGTGAATTTTAATTTTTCTTAAGGGAAAAAAAAAATCGAAAGGCGAAAAGAAAAACTGACCGCCCCATTTTGCAAGTGGAAATTTCCAACAGAATCCAAAGCTTTTCCTCGCTTCTTCTCTTGAAGAAGATACCTTTAGTCGTCGAGCAAAAACATGAAAGAAAGAAAAAAACGATAATGATAATATTTTAATATTAGCAATAATATTGATTATACTACCATAGCAATATTTTCAGTTTTACAGAACATACCTTGCACAGAGTCTCATTAAAGGGATCTTTAATGCTATCGTCAATTTATCTGATTTGGTCCATTGGTGATCGGGTGAGGATAATAAGTCCCGCAGTACTTCCATCCCCGTTTTCCCAGTGGTAACTTCTCTGGGTAGATAATCGAAGGAAAAAAAAAGCAGAAAATCATCTTCATAAACTTTATCAATGTAAGTAAGAGGAAAAGATCTTAGCTAGGCTAACAATTTCTCAAGACTGATAGGAAGGATATTATTAATTTATTATTATTGGAATTGCGTTACAACCTTCCGGAACCTTCTAGGCAGGCAGGGAGGCTCTCAAAAATCAGTCTCAACCAAACCTAATAAAAATCGACTCACACTGTAATAAAACAGAACAGAATTCTTACTCGGTTGCTTCAAGAAGGACCCTTTCTTCTTCTTCGTTCAGCAAATTCTCGCTGAAAGTAGAATCGGATCTCCCAATTGATGCCAACTTTGAGAAAAGCCATTGCATAAAACCCGGTATAGGGCTAAGCGTAGCAAATGTCTGTAGAGAGTAAAATTTGCAATTTCACAATAACAATAAGAATAACTTCAATAAACATTATGGATTTATATAGACTTACTGAGATTTTCGGCATGTCCCTTCGCACCAAATCAATCACACGTTTGATGAGAAACTTCCCCAAGTTGATTCCAGATAAACCGGGCTGCAAATTTTAGGAACGAAAACTTTTATATGCAAATTTTCAATAACACCACCAAAAGGAAACGTGATATTTTTGAAAGAGTAATTCGGAATCAATTTAAGTAGAGTTCGGGAAGATGAATTAAGCACTGACATGCAGATAGCAAACATCTGTGGGATAATATGCATGCCCTTGTTCTTTAATTTTTTATTTATTTTTTACTTTTTAAAAAATGGGGGTGATTGTTTACAAAATAATTCGCTCACTTTTATTTCTAACTCAAAATCTAACTAAACTTTAACTCAACCTCACTATCTTTAATATTATTCATATAATTAAATAATACAAATCACTCATTCTTACACATCACATCAACTTTAATTCACTATTCATCCCCTCACATAATTTTAACTACCTATCATTTCCAATCATTTCCAATCATTTATCTCTTACTTTTACATCAAATCAATTTTAATTATTTTATTTTAAATATTATTTTAATACATTCTTAAAATTCCACTACAACTAATCATACCACCTTTTTCAAAATTAACTATAGTTAACCAAAATAACTCAATTTGAACAAATTATTTCATAAACAATCAAGCCCTTATCTTCTCGTGTGAAGATGAAAGAGAAAATTTTCTGATTCAGGTTTACACAAGAATCATTTTCTCACTGAAAAATCTCAAATGCAAATTCAGAATCAATAAAATATTACAAAGTAATCGAGTATTTTCACATTCCGATTACCTGAGTGGAAGATATGGAATAAAATAGTGCACACGTCGCCTCATTTTCGACTGTTGGAGGATCATCCCACAAAACTTCCTGTAATGTCATAAACTTGTCCATTGGTAAATCATAGCTCGACAAGTATATTTCTATCATAATAGTGTAAAAACTCTGTTCACCTGTATTGTTCGAGCCACATTCTTCATGAGAGCTACTTCAATAAAAATCAGTGGTTCACCTGATAATTTCGAAATAAAATAAGCTGCCAAAATCTAACACACTATTGCATACCAAATGAAATTATTTACTGCACTTTTGTTTCAAAACTTGTTTTTTGCGATGAAATTTTTTCGGACACACTGACTTAATTTTCTATTTTTATCTCTATTTTATTTTTTGTGGCTTTTCTTAACGTTCTAACTTTTGTTTCAAAACTTGATTTTTGGAATGAAAATATGATTTTCACATTAAATGTTGGAAATATTGAAAATTAACAATTTTTCTGCTTACAGAATTTAGGCCCATAAATACACTGAATTTCAAAATTTGCACGCACGTGAAAAGAAAAGAAAAAAAAAGCTGACCTGGAATTGCTGGATGTAAGTACCCGAAACAACGCCGCCCTACACCCAGCCTTCGCTTTAGATCCAAAAGGTTGCTGATTGGATGCACGGCCTACAAAAATGCTCGTGAATACGAGCAAGAGAACTCCACATATATTATGAGAAATGAAAAAATGAAAAAATTACCTCATACGCCACAATCTTCTCTAACAAGGAAGCTGGATCGTCCCATGTTATGTTGTTCAGCTGTAGATTTGCTGGGCTGAGCCACGTAATAAGCTTCTCTTTCAAGTAGGAGTCCAATGCCCTCAAAGGCGCTATATTTTCCTCACTATAGGGGGAAAAAAAATCTTTTTTAGTCCAGATTTATACCAGTATTATTTTTATTACAAAGAAGGAGTGGAACCCAAAAAAGAAGAAAATAACAAGTCTAATGAATTTGGTGTGTAACCTTACGCGAGAAAAGATAATATGTCGGCTCTCATAGTCGACAAGAATCTCAATCCACCAGGGTGAGTGTTCAACCTCTCGAACAGAACCTCATACATTGGCTTTAAAGTGTGCCTCAAATTCCTCTCTATCCTATAAAAAGCCGAAAACGCCCCCTCGCCCTCATGCAAATTTCCCACAGCATTATCACCTAAAAGTAAAATAATTAACTACCCGGGGAAAAAAAAAAGAAGCTTGAAAACTCGTAAGGATAAGTAAAAATGACACGGAACTAACCACTTGGAAGCTCGAGTGAAAGATATTGCTTAATCAATTCACGAACTTGATTCCGATTGAGATCATATTCTTTAGCAAGTTTTAGCAATAGCGTTCGCTTGTCATCGGTCGAAAGACCAAAGTAGCCCTACATTCTCACTCTACAGTTAGTATCAAATGAAATACGTATAGAAATTACTAGCTAGCAAGCATGTGTACATGGAAAATCCCACCTCAGCAAAATCATCCAGGGCAGCATCTAGAATCTCGGTCTTGTCCATCGATATGGCAGCATGCATTGATTCATGCACTTGCTTAAAGTCTCTGAAAAAAAAAAGGAAAAAAGTCAAAAACAAAGACGCAGAAGTTTAACACTTATACCTCAACCAAGATGCAATATCTTTGTTCTTTCTATGTATGCTTCAACTGATCTTACATCAAATGCACTAACATAACACCACTGAGAGTGAAGAACACCAAAAGTGGTATGAATCCAAGTTCGGTTAGCTTATAAGTTTTCTGTATTTAAATAAACTTCGTTTGGTAGGACGAGCTTTTAAAAAAACTCGAGCTTATCTCATAAGCTTCTTTGGGTAGTTTTTCAAATAAGCTCGTTGAAATTTTTATTTCAGCTAGCTTATCAGCTAATTTTACCAAATACTTTTATCATATGAGCTAGCTTTTCAGCTATAAGTCATAAACTATACGCTATAAGTTCAAAATTCACTTAGCTATAAGCTCGATTATCACAGCTAAGTTTACCAAACATTGCTAATTCAACAAAACAGGATAATCACAACTCCAACCAACACTTCCTGAGCTTTATGTTCTAAAAATCTAAGAAAAAAGAAAGTGATTTCACCTTCAAGCCGGCAAATGATCAAAGATGAGATTTTTTTT